TGCTCCACTTGGCTGGCCCAGGGTTACAGTTTTTAAAGCCTGCACTGTGCTTTGTGATGTGGGCTCTCAAGCTGTATATATTTTTCATGTAATGTCTAATTTTAAGGGTTAATTTTTAAGTCAATGAGTTCATTCTTTAGAAAACACATAACAAATGAAAACCCAGAGAGTAGTCCCACTCCCTGATATGTAACCAGAATACAGAAGTAGAATATGATTCAAGAAAAAGCTTTTGTTGTCCATATGAACATTTTAGAGAGTGTAAATTATCAATAAAATGTAGTGAAAACAGTCATATTCAATGTAATCTGAACAGGAGGTTTGTCAATTTAGTGGGGGAACAAAGCTGGGTAGAACAGGGAATCAAATATACCCCCATGAGCATCTATTATACATGCTCACTGTCAATCTTTTCAGGAAAGCCAAGGCCCACCTTTTGAGCATGTGTCTGCTCATAGGTCTGAATTGGCTTTTTTGCATAAATCACACCTATGTGAGTATGATCTCTACTTTTCACATCTGTAGAGGAAGAACTTAAAAATATTTGGAAAGTAATCTGAGGACATAAGCAATCTAGATTTAAAATATCTTCCCTCTATTTTTACAATTGCCTCATACTCAGTCATTTTTTAGGACTCACTTTTCCAAAGCCTTCAATTCTTTGTTTTCAAACTCATGTTCTATTACTTTTTATTATATTTAATTAATCCATTATTAAATGTGCAATCAGAATATTCAGTTTGGGAAAGCCGTCAACACCTGGTAAACGTGCAACTCAGTTGACGGGAATGGGAGTTAAAGGTAGTAATGGAGGGGGTGCTCCAGGGAGCTGCCTGTTGGACACGAAGACCAGGTGTCTTCGGCATCAGCCAGCGTGTTTTCTAGGAAACTGTCAGAGAGATGAATCTGCCAGGTCACTTAGATGGAGGGTGATCAAAAGAGAGGTCCCACTGATGTCAATCAGAGCAGTCGCTGGGAAGCCAAGTCCACGCTGGCTCCTCGCTTGTTCTCACAACCCACATCTAATCACTCAAGAAACCCTCTTGTCTTTACCTTCAAATTACAGCCGAATTTCAACTATTCTTCACCACTCTGCTACCCTCACCCTGTGTCAGGCCCTCTTCATGTCTCTCCTGGATTACTGCAATAAACTCTTTCCGGGCCTCCACACCGTCTATTTGCAACACAGAAGCCAGTGATCCTTTTCAAACATCTAACAGATCATGTCTCTTGTTCTGTTCAAAACCCTCCAATGGAAAAACAAAACAAAAACATAGCAACAGCAGCAACAAAACAAAACAACCCTCCAACATGGAGTAGGAAGTCATCTGTTCTTCCCCTCGCCTTGCTCCCTTTGTTCCAGCTACACCGCCTTTCTTACTGCGCCTCGAGCTCGCCAAGCGTGCTCTCCCCACCTCAGGACCCCTGCACTTGCTGTTGTAACTGAAAGTTCTTCTCCAGGCACTGGCATGTTTCCCTCCAGGCCATACATACATACATTCATAAAGATGATAAAGAAAGGGAACTTCCTGTAAGTAAAAGCACAGGTGAAAATACAAGACAAACATAAGCACAGTTATTCCTGCCCTCAGACCCGTGAGAAGTCTCTGGGGTTCTTGACTTTGGCAATCTCCTAGAGGCCCACTGTCCCCTCTTAGCAGACCACACCGTCTGCCTCTGTCTGCTGAGCGCTCAGCGTGCAGACAAGTTGTGTCGAGTCTCCACTACCTTGCTTAGCCATTCCACTTAAGGGCCTGCTCAGCCTAGCCCACAGCAGCGGGTCATAATTCCTTGTCCTGCATCCATAGTCCAGAGCATGTTACTATAACCAGCCTTAAACTCAGCTACTGCACAAAACCAGCACTGCCCATTCCCTGGCAGAAAAAGTCAAACATAGATGTAACACATTTGCTGTTTTCCCAAAAAGGGAAAAAAGCAAATAAAATTTCCTATGATTCCCTTCTTGTCTCCCAGTTTTGTTTTCATTTTTTTTCCCTCTACATGCTAAATGCAAAGAGAGTAGAAACGGTATGTTGTAACCTTTCACATGTATAGTTAACAGCTCTAATTGTATCAGGCTTGGTGCTTAGGTTGAAACACATGTTCATACAGCAAGCCTGAGTAACTGCAAACGTCCCCGTAGAATGGCAGGGAACTCAATTCAAGCCTGTATGTGCACAAATGGATCTTTGAAACTGGTCCAGCGGAAGTAGCTGCTTTGAACATTGACCTCTTTCTTAAAAGGTTTTATTTGCTTATTATTTCTATCTGATAAGCAGGCTAGCCAAAATTCTGGCTCTGTAACAAAAGGCCTGTAATTCTCAATATGATTTTCCTTTTCTAGGCTGTATTTTCAATGCTGCTGATCCTAAAGGAGCCATGATCATGTGGGATTAAGAGCTTTCTCCCTTTATGCATTTAACCCTCCGTCGGGCGCAATTGATCTCACAGATTCACTGCACAGTAAAGGGCAAAGCTTATACTGAATTTATGTAATAAACATATATTGTTTTTACTTTGTGGTAAATTAAAATTTCACTCTGAATAAATAATAAGCATGCTTACATGTTATTTTCATTCATTTTCAATTTAAGTAAGATGTCATACACGCATCTAGTAGATGCATTGTGCCTGAACTCGTAGCTTTTGCATTGCGCCTGATGGAGGGTTAAAAAATAGGAAAGGAAGGGGCTGGCCAAGTGGCTCAGTTGGTTAAGAGCTCACTCAAGAGTTTGAGCTCTGAGCAACAGTAGTTCGATTCCCAGCCTGAGCTGAGAAGCTGCTGAGCTGCCAACAGGTGGCAGGATGGCTCAGCTTAAAAAAAATAAAATAAATTAAAAAAATTTTTTTTAAAAATAGAAAAAGAAAAGAACTGTATCTGGGCTGGCTTCACAGGCTTGTGACTTCTGCAGGTGCTATGCTTGGTTCTGCTAAGTGCCATCTTGAAATTCTTAAATATTTTATCTTTTAATGTGTAAGTTAAGATGAAAAGGCTGAAGCATGTGCGTGAACAGAGGTGCGATGCACAATAAGTGTCCGCCCCCTTTTCCTGCAGCCCCAATGCATTCAGGTAACGTTCACAGTGTAAACACGGGATTCCTGGGGACCCCTGATGTATGGGAGTTCAGTGAGACTCTAAGCTGGGACAAGGTCAGTGTATTATATTTATGACTAAGTGGGGGCACTGACAGCCCCCAAGAACCAGGACTTGGTTCAAATGCAAAAAGAAAGCAATGGCTTCTAAGAACTATGAACGACCAAGGAAACCTATCATACCCTTTCTTATTTGTGTCATTTTCCTGTATTAGCAAATCACATAGGCTGAAAATGATGGCAGGGAAGGATAGGGCCACACACAGTTCCCTCTCTCTGCAGTGCTTCCTTGCCAGTAAGCTGAAGGTAAAGAGGGTTGGCAGAATGTGTGCATATCAAGAAGCAAAATAAAAACAGCTGGGTTAGTTTCGTGCACTGTTTCTACTGTTCTGGTAAGAATAAAATATATATCCATATATGAAGTATACAAAACGAGTTGTGTAATTTTGGGGATTCTACATATGAGTTAAATATTCTTATATATACACTTAAAGCTGGCAATATAAAGATGAATGGTAAAATTCATGCTAATAATTTAAATTTTAATATTTCCTTTACCTAGAATGACATTAAGTAGCAAATAAACATGAGAGAGAGATCACAAAAGGAAAAAATCTTTTTACTTTAATTGAACCCTTTCTCCTGTTTTCTGAACAAGGGGCCCCACATTTTCATTTTGCCTGGGTACTGCAAATTACGTAGCCCAACCTAAATCT